TGTAAGGTAAAGGACACAGTCAACAAGATAAAAAGGCAGCCCACAGAATGGGAAAAGATATTCACTAATCCCACATCTGACAGAGGTCTGATCTCCAAAATTTACAAAGAACTCAAGAAGCAAGTCTCCAAAACACCAGAAGATCCAATTAAAAAGTGGGGGTACAGAACTAAATAGAGAATTCTAAGTAGAGGAGGCTAAAATGGCTGAGAGGCACTTGAGAAAATGCTCAGCATCCCTAGCCATCTGGGAAATGCAAATCAAAACAACACTGAGATACCATCTCACTCCTGTCAGAATGGCTAAAATAAAAAAAAAAAACCACCAATGATAGTTTGTGCTGAAGAGGATGTGGAGAGAGGGGAACATTACTCCACTGCTGGAGGGAGTGCAAATTTGTACAGCCACTTTGGAAATCAGTGTGGAGATTCCTCAGAAAAATGGGAATCAGTCTACCACAAGACCCATCAGTTCCACTCTTAGGCATATATCCAAATGAGGCAAATTCATACAATAAGGATGTCTGTTCCATTATGTTCATAGCAGCATTATTTGTAATAGCCAGAACTTGGAAGCAACCTAGATGTCCCTCAGCCGAAGAGTGGATAGAGAAAATGTGGTACATTTACACAATGGAGTACTATTCAGTGGGAAAAAACAATGGAATCCTGAAATTTGCAGGCAAATGGATGACACCAGAAGAAACCATCCTGAGTGAGGTAACCCAGTCACAAAAAGACAAACACGGTATGTTCTCACTCATATATGGATTTTAGACATGAAACAGGGGGAGTGCCAGCCTACAATCCCATGGCCAGTGAGTCTGGGAAACAGGGAGGACCCTAAGAGAGATATGCATGGTACCCCAGAGAAGGGGAATGGGACAGGATCTCCTGAGGGGAATGGGAGCATGGGGGGGGTGAGGTGAGAGGGAGCTGGGAGAAAAAGAGAGGGGTTGAAGAGGAGGGGAGAGGAGGACATGGGGGAGCAGGAAGGTTGAGTCGGGGGAAGAATAGAGGAGAGAGCAGGTTGAGAGACACCATACTAGAGGGAGCCACTGTAGGTTTGAGGAAAGATCTGGAACTGTAGTGAGACTTCCTGAGATCTCCAAGGATAACACATATTTTATTTTTAAACGGACTCAGATGTGAGAGGTGTGGAGAGTTTAAATAGACATCATCCAGAATTCAGAAAATATGTTCTTAGAAGAAAATCTTGAGGATAAAGCTCCTTGAAGAAAGAAAATCTTGAGGATAAAGCTCCTTGAAGATGCGGCGTTCGAGCCCACTTCTATACCTTCCCCACGTCTTCCTTCCTCTCCACACGCAGTCTTCCTGGAATCATGCTCAGCAACAGGGCGTAAAGTTAGCAGGATGTCACTCCTAATCTAAAGAGTCTTGTGAAGAGCCAGGGTGGAGAAAAGAAAAAAAGAAAACAAACAAAACGAAAACAGCCCACATAAAAACGCAGCCACAGTGTTTAGCGATCGTTTTGCAGAAGAGAAGGGCGGGTTATTTTTCTACAAGGGCCTGAAAATCTTTTTGTAGATAGCGCTGCTGTCTAGAGGACGGGAGTGTGTTTAAGAGGCAAGGAAGTACACGCAGGAGAGAGATTCTGCAAAGGTACAGCTGCCCCAGTTCAGCACGATCTATCCGGGGGATTATAAAATGTTTCAGATAAGCCAAAATCCAACAAGCTGGGGCGTGGAATTTGGAACATCTGAACAAATTCTTCATGCCAGGAAATATTTATGGAAGGCTTTTGTGCGCTGCATGAAGGATATTAAACGTGGGCACACTGGTGGCCATATGTACCTTGGCAAATAGATGAGGCGTGAGCCTGCGAGACCTGAAAATGAGAGTTTTCCGGGAAGTGGACCAGAAAGAGAGAAGGAAGAAAGTAATTGAATCTGATGGACACGTTTGCTCTGGGAATCATGACGTCAGCTGTCACCCTGGTGGATTGCCTTAGCTAGAGGCGACTTCATCCCTCCTTGTCAGGTGCAGCAGTGTCTCAGTGTAGCCGTGTTCAGAGACGTGCATAAGAGGAAAGGGGGCATGGATCCTGTGTCCTTCACGCTAAAATCCTTCCAGACACTGCCCAGCTTCAGAGTTCCGTGAGGAGTCAGAAAAGTCCTTTGCAGAAGCACGGCCGGCTTCTTTCCAGTTCAGACATCCATCCTAGTTTCCCGTCTACCAGTGCTGACTGCCAGGGTGTTTCCAGCAGCTATTGACCTTCCCCTGGTAATTTATCTTAGGGCACTGTGGGACAGAGAACTAATAGATTTAGAAACTTAATAGAAAAGGGAAGCCCAGAATCATTGATTCAGTCTTTGACACGGAAATACAGTGTGCCCAGAATGGGGGCCGAGAAGGCAACACACTCAGGAATAAACTTCCCCGAGTTTGACTTGCCTGTGAAGCAGCCAGCATGCATTGTTCACTGTACAGCTGATTTCGTCAATCAGGAGCATAGAAAGAAGATGTGACGAATAAATGGTAAAAAAAAGAAAACAAACAAACAAACAAAAAACTTGAAGGGAACATGCAACAGTCAGAGATAAACGGAATGGTTAGTAGCTTATGAGAGAATTTCAGTTACAAATGAAGCTACTGTTGTATCTCGCCTAGAAAGCAAGAGCGAAGTCCATGAGAAAGTTCTCTTTAAAGAGATCAGTTGAATGGCATAGAGCTCATGGGGGAGACTGGAAAAAGAGAGTGGTGTTTGTTTCAGATGAGAACAGTAGAAAACGCAACCAGTTGGATCCTCCCCTGTCTGAACAGCCACAAAATTCATCTGATTATGTTGCTGGTGTGATTGAGGACTATGGAGAAAGATGACGAAGCCCTTGCTGAAGATTTTAACTTGGTTCTGAGGCACACTACCACTTTGTGCGATGGCAGTCCTTGATCAAATGCGCTTTTTCCTGAACCTCATGGCTTCTAGAAGAGGACCCACTACAAGGGGACCAGTAGTGGATTAGTCACTGGGACTAATCCAGTGACAATGCTGAAAGGGGCATCTCCGTGCTCCTATTGATCCCCATAAAAGGCAGACGGATGATATTTTTAATTCAGCAAATGTAGATAACAAAAAATAAAGATCTACCTTCTCTTATAAACTAAAATTGTTCTTGATGTAGCTCAAAGTGTGGGACTCTAGATGAATAATTTTTTTTTGTAGAGAAAACACTCTAGTATCTAACTTCTAAGCCAAGTGCAATGATAATATAGTATATTTAGAGTTAAGACTTAAAAAAATCAAGATAGTTTGTTCTTAATATACAGACAAGCAGGTATGGGACTAAAGGGTGGGGCCTAACTTAGAGGAAGTGAGATGGAGAAATGGTATTCACAATGTGCATCTGTCAGTCAGAAGACAGCACAGAGGGAGGTACTGAGAAATAGAAACAATCGAGGAATCTATTTTAAAACTACAGTAAGCCGGGCGGTGGTGGTGCACGCCTTTAATGCCAGCACTTGGGAGACAGAGGCAGGCGGATCTCTGTGAGTTCGAGGCCGGGCTGGACCGACAGCCTCCAAAACAATATAGAGAAACCCTGTCTTGTAAAACAAAACAAAGCAAAACAAACAAAAAAAAACTTGAGCTTGTCCTAAAACAAAAGCGAACAAATATAGAGACCCACAGTCAGACATTACACACAATGTGAGAAACCTTGGAATACTAGACCCTAAATGGAATGTCTCCATCCAATCCCTCCCCACAGGTTCAGAGAACTCCATGGAAGAGAATGCAGAGTATAAGAGCTAGAGGGAATATTAGGATACCTAGAAAATAAAGCTGTTTAAATCAACATGATTGATGCAGGCACGAACTCACAGGCATTGAGGCAACGTGCATATGGCTGCATGGTCCTGCACAAAGTTCTGTGTTTATCTGCTATAGCTTCCAGTTTAGAGTTTTCATGGGATTCCCAAGTGGGTCTTTTTCTCTTTGGACTCCTTTACTTCTATTTGCTTTTTTATTTAATTCCAATGTTCTAGCTTTTAAAATATTATCATATTTTATTATTTGAAAAAGTCACTAAGTGTTGTTAAGTATTTGAGTTCATTATTCTGAAAGGCTATTGTTGGACCACCCTGCTTTTTCCTGGAATCTCACTATGGAAGTTACAGCCTGATAGAAAGGAAGCAATGGGGTTTCAGAATCACAGCACTGTCGGCAGACATTGACCTAAGGTCACACTTAATATGTAACTAATTGAATTAAGACTGTTGAACATCCTAGGTATCCCATATATTACATTAAGGAAAGCTTCTGTGTAGGGAGCAGGTGGCCCAAAATCACTGTGTGAATAACTGCAGGCACCAATGTAAAGGGAAGTTTGATTACGAGTGGCATCATTTAAGGACAGAAACCATTTATCTTGCTCCTTCTGAGAGACACTGTATTCATCAGGGACATCTCTTTTGTTGATGCCAATAGTACAAAGGGACTAGTAAATCAGCCATAGCCCTTGTCCTGAGTCTTGTTGATACCAATACACTTAGTCATAGTTCTTAATATGAGAACGTTCCAGAATAGGGCTCTTCCCTGTCTTTGTGATCTTGTTCTGTGGGATCTGAGTAATATCAGAATTCATAGACCATTTTTGAGAAACAAGAGAGAAATGCAGACAGAGATGAAGAAAGCCTGTTTTCTGTGATTTCTAGGGAGAAGCTTAATCCCAGTCTGAAAATTCAAAGATTTCTCCATTTATTTTCCAAATTTATCTGCTTCCAGGAAACAAAATCCCACCCAACAGAGTAGTGTGAATCCTATGACAAGATGAGGCAGGATGAAGATTTTCCCAGCTGTAAATATTTGGGGAGTTAGGACATGGAAACAGGAAAGAAAAAATATTCACACTCAGGGTAGATCCCACTCCTCTTCACTGGAGCTGATACAACCCTATACCAGAAAACTTCTGTACCTCTGCATGACTCAGGAAGAGGACGACACTTTGGCTTGTACATTACAAATGTTCTTGGTGGTTCCAGGTAATATCCTGATTCGCAGAGACCTTGGATAATGACCAACTCAAGAAAACTACCAGATCCACCACCCTAAACTTTATCATTTGCTAATGGTGAGTATGTTCAAACTTTTTATTTTGACTACAGCTATCTTTCTATGCCATAACACACAAGAACATACTTTTCCTGTCTAGTTTTAACAATGTGCATGTTAGCCAATGCCTTCTCATCACCTTGTTCTCTTAAAATATTTTTGTTGTCTGGCAGCTATGACATTTGTGTGATGAGTTGTAGTTGTTTTCACCCTTCCTTCCCCTCCCTTCTTTCATTGAAACCCTCCTTTCCACCAAGTTCTGCTCCTACTTTCGTGACTTCTTTGCGTGTGTAAACCACTGGCTTTAATTAGGGTTTCTTGCCTGAACACATGAGAGCTTATTTTCTAGAAAAATGACAGTTTGTCAGTAACTACACTACTAAAATAATGACACCCCTATCTCTAACAACTAACAGTTGTCAATAGTCCCCCAGGGAGGACTACTGCTTCATGAGCCCCTACCCCATCTATGATGAAAGGTTGAAGGCCCCTTCGCATACAGATCTTGTAAAGATGAGTACAACTCAAGTGAGTTGTGAGTGCAAGGCTGATGATATGTTTTTGCTACATATCTTCCCACCCTGTGGCTCTTACATTCTTCCTGCTTCCTCTTCCACAATGCTCCACTAAGCCTTGGGGTAATACAACTCTCCCTTCTAGGGTCAAGCATTCCATTGTCGTTTATTGTCGGTACTTTGTGGCAAACTATGGATTTGCGCATTAACCATAGTGAAGTAAGAAGCTCTTCTGATGAAGGTTCGACATAGCTATGGCAATACAGGATTATGGATATAAACTATGAGTATAAACATGAGTACCTAGAAGACAGCTTAAGAGCATGACCATCAGCAACGCAGTATCAGTAAGTTCTCCATAGAGCCAATGACACCCAGAACCACATGCTTTTCATGAAATTTACAGGACCAAAAGTGTGAGCTCTTTTCTGTGTGGATCAGGTTTCAAATCCAGTCAAAGCAACTGGCTAGCCCAATAGCAACCAAGTCATAATTGCACTAGAGGACACATACTGCCTATCTAGTCATTACGAGAGTTCACAGGGCACAGAGCTGGATAAGAAACTTTATGACTTCCCTCCCCAGAACCCTTCACAGAAACCTTTGGAATAAGAAAAGATAGTCTGGAAGAAGGTTACAGATTAGTTTTAGCTTTTATTACCTACATCTTATTACCACTGTGAATGGTATCTTCAGCAATACAGTCCTACCTAGTTCTGGTAGGAAACCAAGAGTAATTACAATAGCCTCTTTTTAAAATTTTTTTGAAGGGGAGTCTATTGACCACCAGCTGGCCACTATTCCACACCTGGGAAGAACATTATTAATCCATAGAGGCCACATCTGGTATTTTGTTTTTAGATTATGTTTTCAATAAACTTACAAACTAGTAGATTTCCATATGGCTTTTTAACATATCTTTAGTTTGCATTACATCTCTCTCCTCTCCCCTCCTCTTTCCTACCCTCCTACTCCCTTCCTATTTAAACCATTCCACTCACAGTGTCCCCACATCTTCATTTTAATACTTTAAAAATAATTTGAAAATTTCAAATGTTTTCAAAGTGAACATGATAAAAATAGTTAGCCAACATATCTCCAAGTCACTCAACTTTTGTAATTACCAACTTCTGAACTCTTTGCTTTATCTATCACCTATGCAATCGTATTTCTTGTGTACTACTTTGACTGGTTTCTTCTTTATTCAAGAGCACATTTTACTGCATATTAGTTATTTAAGTACTCCCTTCTTCTCAATTGCATTAAAATACTCCATTTATAGTACAAGGAGAAATATAGATTATTTCAGTAAATGGCTTGTCTGCATGTTTGATTAATTAAGGCTATTATTTGGGGTTTGTCCTTAGTATCAGTAAAAATAGCATTTCTCTGATGTGAAATTTTGCAGTCGGTTTGTTGTTCTGCTGCCTCTTTTGTAGAGTCAGCTGAATATAATTGGAATTGGGAAGAATATAGACTACAGAGAACACAGGACTCTGGTCCCATGATTATGAGGCCACTGCTCAGCCGTGCTTGGCAGAAATTTTTAGATGTGTAGTGAGGAGAAACGAAGCATAAATCACCTCAGGAGAAAAATCTACAGCTAAAGATTGGTGAGATAATGTTATCAGAGAAATAAATGGAAAAAACACAAAAAAAGGCAACCCAATTTCTGGATATTCAATAGTGTTCTTCATGGTGGTCCTATATTTTTCCTACTCCTGAATAGCACACCCACCCTGTAATTCATATTTATGAACCACTCTCCATCTGCATTGGGCTCTACAGTAGACATAGTGCATAAAATTCAGGCTTACTCACATACTACACTCCTGCTTGCAGCTCCATGGCTTCTGAAGAACTGCTGAACATTCTTTCCCGGTTGGGCGTTATTTATCTGTAAACCACAACCACTAGCACATGGCATGCTAAAGAAGAAAATTGTGTCTTCTCTTCACTTGCAGAAGTTTTCTTTCTTTTCTGTGCTTTCTCCTAGAACTTTGAGTTGCGACTTTTATAATTAGGTCTGTGTTCCATCTCACTTATTTTCATTATGGTGTCAGTGACAGAGCAGGTTCAATTTTTGTGTCTGGTTGTTCAAACTGTAACTTTGAATCCGTAAGCATGATATAGGTTTCTTTTCTTGATGTTTTCCTTAATTTTCCCTATATGTAATATACATAACATTGTATTGTATTGTATTGTAGATTCATATTATAGTATTGCAGATTTTATACTGTACATTACAGATTTTATCCAATGTATGTTCTGAATTTATTCATAAGATATTTGCCATTGATATTATTCAAAATGCTGCTATTTTCTGAAGTCCATTTCCACACCTTCGAATATAGTAAATTCAACATTTGATTTTTTAAATATAGATCTGATACTCTGTAAACTTACTAAATTTAATCATTGTTTCTACTTGTTTAATGATTCCTTGGGACTTTTCAAGTTAAAGAACTTTGAAATCTGCAAAATGTTTATTTCTAATCTCATTTTTTGCCTTGTCATTTTGATAACATTTGATTAATGGTTAGCAAGAAAATATGATGCTTTGTTCCCTATTATATAAAGGAAGTTTTAAGTAACTACTAAATACGTTTTGTCAATAACATCCATCAGATTCAGAAAGTTTGTATTTGTGACTGATTTTCGTAGAGCGTTTTTCTTGAATAAATACCTCCCCTTCCCCCAGATCCTCTCTCCTCTCTTTTATCTTCATACTGCATTGTGTCCAATTAGTGCTTCCAATGTGTGTGTGTGTGTGTATGTGTGTGTGTGTGTGTGTGTGTGTGTGTGTGTGAGAGAGAGAGAGAGAGAGAGAGAGAGAGAGAGAGAGAGAGAGAGAGAGAGAGAGAGAGAATCCACTGGCTCATAAGAAACCCACTATTGACTAACCCCCCAAAGAAAAATTGTTTTCTGTTCTCCAGCCACCATTGACTGACATTAGCTCCTCAGCTAAAGGTCTCACAGGCCCTTGCCAATCCATGCTGGAATTACAGCTTGTTCAGTTTTACTTGGTCTTGTGCAAATACCCACAGCTGTTGTGACAGGCTTCATCAAGAAAGGAAACTGGGCTTGTTGTTTTCTTCTAAAAAGGTTCTCTTGATACGTAGTTCTTTACAGATCTCAACACGAATCTATTTTTAAGTTCTGTTTCTCTCACGATGATTCATCTACATCCTTGTCTGTGACTCTCTGTAATCATTTCAATGTCTGTTTCATGATGCGGATGATTTACCACACACAGGTGTGGTATTTTATTAGGGAGAAATTACTTAGGTGAGAAGCTGAGGACTGAGGTCAGCGCTCTGCTGGTCTCCGACCTTGACCAGAACCCCGAGAGAGAGAGAGTGACCCCTCCTTCCTTGACCTTTATCTCTGCCTTCCCCCACGTAGCTGTGACCACACCCATTTGCTGCAGGTATGTGAAATCTCTATCTACAATTTCCCTTTTTTTGTAAAGAAGAGATTTAGACTGAAAACAAACTAAACTGTCTCAAACATATATAAAACGTATATACATAGAAGGTGATAAATCAGCCAGGCGGTGGTGGCACACGCCTTTAATCCCAGCACTCAGGAGGCAGAGGCAGGCGGATCTCTGTGAGTTCGAGGCTAGGCTGGACTGACAGCCTCCAAAATAATGCAGAGAAACCCTGTCTCGTAAAAAAAAAAGGTGATAAATTATAATCTACCTATATCCTCTCCAAAGCATATCTATCATCTAAACCCTAAACTTATCCGAAAGAGATGCCCAAGTCTGAACTCCTCCTTCCAATCCCAACCCTAAATAATTGAAAACTTACCCTAACAGGTGCAAATTATCCTGTAATATCAACAGCAGGGAAAGGGGGCATAGTATTCTCAAAATTACTTCCTGCTGAAATGGGATGATGATAACCTTATGGGATCCCGTAGAAAGAAAATGTTAGTGTAGTGAAAGTCTCAAGTGGACTAGCTACAACATCTGTACCCAGTCTCTGTTTGACGGGAGATGCTTGATGGAAGGTCTTGACTGAAGTTCTAATGTTGATTGATGCTCTTCTCTGAGGCTCTGGCCAGATTGTAGAAGGTGGACCATATCAGTTAATTAGTCTGGAGTTGTATAGAGCAATGCAGTCCCAAATGGGTTTCAGAGTGATATTTGTCATCTCAGATGCATCAAGTCGGATCAGGTGGAGCTGGCTGTTAAAATACCGTAGCAAACGGCAAACAGTTTCATAGTTAATATAGTGTCTCGTGTGTTATTTTGGAGCAGAGACAGAAACGGGACTCAGGCAGCTGGCAGGACAGGCTTGTGCCACCACACCCAGCCACAATCCTGCTTCTTTTTCTCTTCTGAGCCTACATATATATATATATATATATATATATATATATATATATATATATATATATATATATGTATATATATAACATACCTTAAACCTTCTAGAGGTTTTACTTTATCTGAATCTGACTTTACTGTAAATCTTTATGTTTTTTTTCTGGTCGCCTGTCTGTTATCTGCTAAACAACTTTGCTAAAATCTAAGCTGAGGCTGCTTTAACTTTTGTCTTTCCAAGATGGCGGGCATAAGTTTACCGTTAGCACTGGCTGCACAAGTCTCTGCTTGTCTCTAGCAAAACAGAGCCCACCCGAGAAAATACTGCTACCAAGAAGCCGTGATTCTCTCTTCTGTTTCTGTTTCTAAAATCCTTTTTAAGCTTTTGTCATTCTATGTGGAAATTCATGCCACACTTGTAACGTGCATTCTTCCCACCAGCCTGCTCCCAGAGCCACATCAGCCCCAAATGAGCACACAGGGCACTATAGTAATTATACATCTATCGGCCATTTGCTATGACTGCTTAATGGCTAGCTCTGACTTAATTATTAATACATAATTACTAATATATATTTTTATAAGGTCTTATCTTACTGAGAACTCCAGACTTGTGCCCTCTTCTCCCAGGATCACATGGAGACTCTCTACTCTTGACTACATTTCCCAGATCCTCCTGGACTCCTAGTCCCATCTACGTTGCTTCCCTATTGGCCAACAGTGCTTCATTTATCAACCAATAAGACAACAGATACACAGAAGTGATGGGAGATGTCATTCCGAAATCTGTCTCTTATTGGTTGTTGAATAAAGCACTGTTGGCCAATAGGGAAGTAAGATAGGTGGGACTAGGAGTTGAGAGGATCCTGGGAAAGAGAAACACAGGGAACCATGATGCAGCCGCCATAGGGGTAAGAAGTCCGGACCCTTTCTCGGGTAAGAGAAATACTTAGATTAAAAATAATGGAATAAATAATTAAGTCAGAGATAGCCAGTAAGAAACCAAACAAACTGCCAACAGCTTCATAAGTAATATAGCCTCCTGTGTGTTTATTTGGGACTGATGTGGCTCTGGAACCAGGCTAGCAGGAAGGCTTCACCCTACACAGAAGGTCTTCCCCCATCAGTTGCAGCTATAGAGAAATTCCATCTTGCCTCACTGCTGTGGTAGCTTTCAGCTTTGTTCCTATGTCTTGAGTTCTAGAGCCAACAAATATTATCAGTTGATCAGATTATGAGAATACTATCCTCTAACTCCTGTGGACAACAGTTTATTGACTGAAATTTCCAACTTCTGTGTTATTTCATGGTGCCTTTCTATTGATTGTTTTTGGTTCCTATATATGCTTGCACTTTCCTGTTTCTTATCATATCTAATACTTTTCTTGGAGTCAAAATTATTCAAGTTTAGAACTAGACATATTCTCTTGAAATATGGAAGCAGATATGTGATAGACCGCAATGGCTATTTTTGCCTGACTGCCTTGGATTCTGTACAGCATGATCTCAGCATGTCTTGCTGATGGGTCTCTTCACCAGTGGCATCTTGAAAAGTATGAAGGAGTTTATATATCTCAGCCAGACTGTATCATGTACTCAGTGAGGGATTAATCTAAAAAAAAGTATCTTTTTTTTGTCTTTCTGTCTCATCTTTATCAAGACCTTCAAAGGAATTTAGGTACTGGCTTTCATTTCTGTATCCATGTTTTCTCCCTTAAGTTTCTTCAGGTTTCAGAGTCTGTGAAAGTACAATTTGATATAGTCAGTTATAATTGGGCAACTCAGACCTCCGCAGTATGTTTCCAGGATCTCAAAGATTGCTTCAAATGAATGAACAAAAAATACTGTTTATTTCTGTTGTTTTCAGATGTGTTCTACATCCACACTTCACCAAGGGCAGGTGTTTTGATATTTTCCCTATATCTTTACAGCATTTTAGATCTCAGACTATGCTAATATCCACAGCAATAGCATACTCTAGCTGCTTGGAGTGACAAACTTAGAAAGCACAACCCTAGCAACTTGCATCAACGTCTGAAGTATGTGAGGTGTTTGAATTCATGTGGTAGATACCTAGGTTACTCAAACATACACAGTACCCAGGCCTTGGGCCAGTTTTAAACACTCACAGAACATCCTACTATTTTGGAACAGAGAGTTGGGAGAGGGAGGGAGGGAGGGAGGGGGAGAGAGATATAGATAGATAGATATAGATAGAGAGAGAGAGAGAGAGAGAGAGAGAGAGAGAGAGAGAGAGAGAGAGATTATTTTACCTGACTTGTATGTAGTACGCCTTTCAAGAACTGGAACTCCCACTCTGGGCCAGCCGATCTCATAATCTTTGAGAATGAATAATGTAATTACCCAATTTGCCATGAACTCTTGCGAAAGAAACCACCATCCATCAGCAACTTAAGAACAGAAATTTGGTGTTCTCCCTTAGAACATGCCTTTGTCTAAAGAAAGCCTGCGTCTACAAGCCGTATGCACGCTGTGCACATATGTAAGCCTGTGGCTGTGGATCCTGCCACAAACCCATCCCCATGAATACCTTAACCATCTGATCTGGTGAAGACAGCAAGAGGGATGGAAAGGCAGGGAATGCTTTTATTCATTTGAGAGTCAAAGATGTGGATGCCACATTGTCAACTATCCTTATTCCCTTCCCCAAGAATTTTGGCCTCAGGACACTGTTTTATTTCAACTAGTGATACATCTCTAACAGAGAATGTGACAGGTTTTCATTTAAACTTTGTACTTTTGTCATTGTTATATATTTGAAGCACATTTTTCATGGTTCCTCTCGTTTGACGTTTTGATATCCCGTGCCTTTTCTATTGCAGTGAGAGGTACTCTGTAAGGATCCGTGTAACCACAATGGAGCTTCCACTCAAGAAATTAACGAGACTGGCGATGTCAGAGGATAGGATTGGATTATGGAAGGAACAATGTGCG